CCTTACCTCCCAAGCGTGGTGGCTCAAGAATGTCAAGTTTACATGGCGTCTTAGAAAAGAACAGCAACAGGAGTCCTCAAGTAACTGCTTGTTCCATTAGATTTAGGGGACTTGGGAAACCATTACATATTGTTCTTGTTTTTATTTTTTTTTTTCAGGCAATGCTGCTTAAATAAGATGCACAAGCTCTTTTGGGTGGTAATTTGGCTTGCTGAGTGAAAGGTCCCTTAATATTTCTGATGTTATCTCTTAGATTTACAGAAAGTATCAAACTTTTGCTTAAAAAGAATGTTTTTATATAGAAAGAAAGAGCTGAACTTTTAAGCATTGGAATTCCCCAGCCATTTACAAATGGGCTGTGTTACGTGAAGCTATGGTTCTATGTTCAGCTGGGATTACATCACTGCAGCTGCTGGGGTGTCCTGCAGGCTCCCATTTTTTAGAGCAGAGTTGTGATGTAAGTGACACTGCGCTGTTTGGTAGACTGGCTGGATTGTATGAATTGTCTTTAGGGATTTTGTCCTGCTACAGAATGCTATTTGGTAAAGTCCATGTGCTACTCAGGGAACTGGATTAGATGATAGTGCTAGCTCCAGAGGTTTTGCAGGCTTCCTGGCTTGTATGTACTCATTTTGAACCAGAGTGCACTGCTGTGTTGTTCCATTGGTTGCACAAGTGAGGAAATACCTATTTTAGAACAAGGGCGGGCTTCCTCTCTCAGCCCCTGGTTAGGTGCTGAAGGAGAAAATTTCATCTCTGTTCTGGTAAATGTCTTATTTTTCCCTTGTTATGAATTGAATTCTATTTATTCCCCACCCCCATTCATTTGTTAAAGTCCTAACCACCCTAATCCCTAACAGTGTGACTGCTTTTTCAGATAGAGCCTAGGAAGAGGTGATTCATTTAAAATGAGGCCTTTAGGGTTGACCCCAATCCTTATAAGAAGAAGGAATTGGATGTGCAGAGAAACAGTAAGGATGCCCCCACAGGGGGAAGACCATGTGAAGAGGCAGGAAGAGGGTGGTCATTTGTAAGCCAAGATGAGAGGCCTCAGAAGAAACCAACCCTCTCACCTTGATCTTGGGCTTCCAGCTTCTAGAACTGTGAGAAATAAGTTTTTGATGTTTAAACCACCTAGATGTGGTATTTCATTATAGTGTCTCTAACAAATACATATGCCTTGCTTGGATAGTATGGGCTACCTTTTGCTTGATTATAGAAAATCTCTATTACAATCATAATCTTAATAGACTAGTGATGAGTAATCCATTAGTTCACCAAGTTTATAAATGGCTGTCAATGTTAGTTTCAAGTTGATAGATGGGAAAACCACTTCTGTGATGCTAATCTTCAAACATGTCCTTGTTTCATTGGCTAAAAATTTGTTCCAATTATCTCCTTGGCAGTCTTATGTTCAAGAGGATTCATAAAACTATTTTATTTTGCATTTTTTAAATGAGGACTTTATGTGAATTTTATTTTTCCTAATCAACTCTTGTTAAAAAATGTGAAAAGCATTCTTAATATAAAGCAAGGATTTATCAGATTAGACTGAGATGGCTATAATCAATAGAGAGGTGATAATAATACTGATCCTGTCTTCATTTATAATTTTGATTTTTGTTTATCCTGGATTTTGCATTAATTTGGTTTAAAAAATACTTTTCTAAAGTATTATTTTTCTTGATTCCTGAATTTTTTGTATCCCTTAAATTTTGCTCCCGAGTGCCTCACTTTCCTCACCCTAGTCCCAGTCCTGAATATGTAGACAAGATTCCCAGACCCTTTCTGCTTCTACAGTCCATGTGTCCATTTCCTAGACTTTCCCTCATAACTTTTCCAAAGAATGGCTTAGAGGCTTACTCTTCTGGCTGGGAAACGTGTGGATGCTAGTTCATCACCGAGAAAATCCCAAGTGGTCTTTAAGTCATTTCACTTTATATTTCCTGTAAAGAAAGAGATTATTAGCCGAGTTTCTGACAGTTTTACAAGTGGGGGAAAAAAAGAAAAGATCTAAGATTAGTGTTATAACAAAGTTGGCCTCAAAAGAGGAAAAGGGTATATAGCTGGGGCTAGGAAGAGAGAAAACAAAAACGAAAAAGCGTTAACAAAGAAAATCATTGTAAACTTGTGAACTGAGCAGACACAGAATTCCTTCCTGCTCTAAGTGCTGAGAAATGCTGTGTAAACAGTAAGAACAGCCGTTATTGTCAAGGGTGTGGAGTAACAGGAACCCTCATATTCTGCTGGTGGGAGTGTAAACAGGGAAACACCTCTTTGATGAGAATTTTGGCACTGTATGTTAAGGTTTAAATTACAGAGGCTCTGTGATTCAGAAATTCCATTCCTGAGTATGTAGCTCAGAGAAACTCTCATATCTGTGGACAGAGAGATATATAGAAATGTTTAATGTGGCATCGATGGCAATAACAACACACTAGGAAACAACCTAAATGTTACCTTAGGGGATGGATAATGAATTACGGCATAGTCATACAATGAAATAGTGTACAATAGGTTAAATGAATGAATTAGATCCACCTGTATTGATATGGACAAATCTCAAAAACACAGCTGAAAACACTGGTGATCATGCAGAGAAACTGGAGCCCTTGAGCATTGCTGGCAGGAATGTAAAATGTCACAGTTGCTGTGGAAAACAGAATGATGCTTCCTCAAAAATTAAGAGTGATGGTTAATTTGACGTGTCTACTTGATGAGGCTAAGCGATACCCGGATAGCTGGTAAAACCTTTTTTCTGGGTGCGTTGTGAGGGCCTTTCTGGAAGAGACCAGCATTTGAATTGGTGGGCTGGGTAAAGAAGATCACCCTCGCTGATGTGAGTGGGCATCGTCCAATTTGTTGAAGGCTAAATGGAAGAAAAATTTGAGTAAGGGCAAGTTTGCTTGCTTTCTTTGAGCCGGGACATCCATCTTCTCCTTCCCTTGAACATCAGTGCTCCTGGTTCTTCGACCTTTGGATTCGGACTGGGACTCGCACCACCAGCTCTTCTGCTTCTCAGTCCTTTGGACTCAGACTGAATTACAGCACCAGCTTTCCTGGTTCCGCAGCTTGTGGATGGAAGATTGTAGGACCTCTTGATCTCTAAAAGCATGTGAACCAATTCCTATAATAATCTTCTTATACATGTACCTATATGTGTCTTATTGGTTCTGTTTCACTGGAGAACCCTGACTAATACATTAAACATAGAAATTGCTGTATCATTAATCAGTTTTACTCTGGTTATACACCCAAGAGATATGAAAGCAGGGACTTGAACAGATATTTATGCACCTGTTAGTAGCATTATTGACAATAGCCAAAAGGTAGAAGGGACCCAAGTGTCCATTAACAGATGAATGCATAAACAAACATGGTATATACATATAACAGACTATTATTCAGTCTTAAAAAGGAAGGGATCCTGGCACATGCTACATTGTGGATGAACCTTGAAGACATTATGCTGAGTGAAATAAGCCGGTCACAAAAAGACAAAATACTGTATGATTCCACTTATATGAGGCTCCCAGAATAACCAAATTCATAGAGACAGAAAGTAGAATGTAGTAGCCAGGGGCTAGGTAAAAGGTAGGAATGGAGAGTTATTGTCTAGTAGGTACACAGAATCAGAGAGAAGATGGATGGTGATGATAGTTAAATAACAAGGTGAATATACTTCATGCCATTGGACTGTACATTTAGAAATGGTTAAAATGGTAAATTTTGCCATATATATTTTGCCACAATAAAAGAAAAGCTGAGTAAAATTGCAAGTTACAGAAGGATGAATTAGAGAAAATTTATGTAAACTTCATGTATACACAAAACCACCCTGCGTATTGTTTATAGATACTTGCAGGAGTGGTAGGAAACATCGCTGTGAAGAACACGTATCTCTTTCAGGACAATGGCCCTTCTGGGAAGGGAAAAGGGAATAGAGACTATCAGAGGAAGGGGTCCACTGTGTTAGCAGCATTTAATTTCTGAGAGAAAAGATTGGCAAAATGAATATACTTGTTAAATCAGAATGATGGTTACATGGTATGAATACAGTTCTTTAATTTTTTTATACTATCACATATATTTGAAATAAGGGTCATTATTAAAAGCAAAAACAAAATACTGAAAGTCAACAATGTTTTTTCTTGGCTTATCCCACCATCTCACAGGCCTTCCTGGTCAGACCCCCAGGTGGGTTTTAGATGGATAGTGGGCCTCAGTAAACTCAACAGAGCTGGTTTTCTTTTCTCTTTGGTGCTGGAAAATACAACCTGTTTCCTTGACTTCAAGGTCCTCTTGCTGAGACCAGAAGCAGGTAATCAGAGCTACAGAGATCACAAGAAGGAGAATGGTCATCTGACACAGCTTGCCTCGCACTCACCATAGGTCCATGCGTCCCAAGGGCCATTCTGACTTGGTTAATTTCTTTTGATTAGTGTATCATTGACTATTGTGCTTTTACTATAAGACAAGACACTATCAACAATTATTTCTGCATTTCTGATGATATTATTAAGCCTTATTCACTATTCAGGGATTCACTTATATAATATTAATGCCTATTATGTAAAGAGCATATTCATAAAAATTCTGTGGGCTTCCCAAAGATAAGTGGAAACTAATACATAAGTGTCTGGCTCTTAATCGAAATTGCTGGCTTTATTATCCCAGGACTGATAAGATATTTAACCTCTGTAGTCCTTAGTTTCTTTATCTGTAATATGGGAATAATAGTAGCACCTATTTCATAAGCTAAATGAATGTATCTGTGAAGCATCATGACTGCCAAATGGTAAGTACTTTGTAAATATTAGCGATGATTATTTTAGTCTTTAGATTTTCTCTGTCCATAGCAAACTATGGTTAAAATAAAAATTTCCTGCTTTAAGAAATTTTTTGAAGACTCGCCTAGTGGTTTTCACTATATATCTAGCTTGTGGAGTTGGGAAATTTTTTATAAATGTTAACAAATGTACTCTCTTAATATATTCTAGGTGTCTTGTGAAATTCTCATGTGGATCTGTGTGCTCACAGTAAACTTTGGACCCTTTCTTACTTCATGAGTGGTAAGTAATCAGTTGAGAAAGTTTCCATTTTTTCTGATTTTACCAACCATACCATTGTGGTGTAGAATTGTCTTAATGGTGGGCTTTTCCATGCATCTCAATTACATTTCAGGGTCTAGGTTTGCAAATAGTGTTGAAGAATTTTTACTATCAAAGACTGCTGTTTAATGACCTTTCTTAGATGTTTCTGTAACTGACATAAAGCATGAATTAGGGTGGCTGCAGCATGCTACAGTCAGCTGGCCCTCTGATTCCAGGATTGCACCATTCAAAACAATAAAAGCAGCAGCAGCAGCTTGTACTAGTTGTGTGGTGTTAGTTAAACCCAGATAAGAGAAGCAGAAACTAGGGGGCTAAAAAGTCAGTTTTCCCCATTTATTTAACTGCATCGAGCCTCAATTTCCTCACCAGCAAAATAAAGATAACATGTTAGCTTCATAGGGTTGCAACGACATAATGCATTTGTGTGTCTGGCATGCAACAGTTATTCAACAAATCACATTATTGAGGTGCCATTGCTTGCATTCTTCTTGAAAATGCTTATTGCTCTGACTTTTGTCATCTTGGAGTTGTTCCTTCTAATATGGAGAAGGAGCACAGTCAGATGCCAAGCAGAAACTTCTTTACTGGCTTAAGATGCCAGTAGAAATGCTGTCTAGTTCTAGAATGTAATCATTCCTCAAGGCTCTGACTGTCATGATAACCTCTTGAAAAGTTGAGTCAAAGTTCACTGAGTTTTCATACTTGAGTTAATGGGATTTTTTTTACCCCCAATAAAAGAAGCTGCCTTTAAAAAAAATTTATACTGGTGCCTTCCAATGAATTGTGTATGACATGAAATGAGAGTTTTTCCAGGGGAGAACATAAAGTACTAGAATGCAGAAGCTCTGGATTATATTTCTGTGCTATTTCTCCGATTACTGTTTGGCCTTGAAAAAGTAACTCTTCAGTTACTTTTTCCCTTGATTTCAGTTTCCCTTGAGTCAAGTGGAGATGACAATACTCATTAGCTGGTACACATTCCCACCTTATAGAAAAGGGGTTGCTATCAGGATTAATGAGATGATGTTTGTAAACAGCTCTGAGCTCTTTGGGAGGCAGATGTTGTATAAATACAAATTATTAATAAAGTATTTATACTGATGATTTCAGGGAATGTTAACAGACCTGGAGTAAAGAAGTCATCAATTATTCGGCACATTCAGTGGGAGGGAAAGTGGGGCTATGGAATAGAGATGCTCAACAGGCTCATATAGTACTTGGAAAATATACTATGAAATTAGAATGTAACCAATTGCAATGATACCAATAAATTGTTTTAGTAAGGATGTTTCAGCTTACAAAAGTGGGGCTTAGGATATCTCAATATTGGTTATTTATTGTAAAGGTTATTTGAAAAACACAAGATTATATTCTTACAGTTGAAAAGTCAGACCTCAAACATCTCAGAGAACATCTTATGGATTCTCTAGTCACTTGTTTACCAATTAATCGTCTGAGGCTTGGTTGACTTCAAGTAACTAACTTCTTTGTCTGAGCATGAATCGTCTCCGGGAGACTGCGCTGACTGTTCCCCACTCCCATCAGTATTATAGCAACAGAATGGGAACAGTGATTGCCTCTATGACAAAGATAAACAGAAATGGCCCAATGGAAAGATCTTGCCTGGTGAAGAAAATGCAAGGGCTGACTTGCCTGCCAGCATCTAACTGGGTGGCTGTGGGGACATCAGTTAACCACACCAGTCTTCAGTTTCTCCTTTGTAAAATTAGTTAATGAATTGTATTAAAAAGTTTCAAAAGTTCCTCCCTAGTGAACAATGCAATATGGACATTGCATCTTAAAAAAATATTATTCTTGCCTGTTATTATAAAAGGCCTAACCTGAGACTTTCTCCTCATGAGTAAAAGTTTGGTTATTTGATTATAATGTCATGTAATGACATGGTCAGCTAGAAAATATCTACTCTCACAGACCAGAATAAGACTATGAGATAGTCAAAGTATGAGTTGCTCTGAGATATTAAGGTTTAGCTTTATGTTATTTACCTTCCCAATTTTGTTCTGCTTATCTTAATATGAAATGAATTAATATTCTATGAGGGAATATCAATTGGAAATTAATTTTTATGACAAACTAAACTACAGATAACCTACATATTAATAATTAGTAGATTACTGATATTTATTTGAAGCTTATTATTTATCAGATATTATGCCAGGTGATTTTTATACATTATCTTATTTAATCTGAATGGTTAAAATATTTGCCCAAGGTCATATGGCTATTAAAAGACTGAAATTCCAAGTCAGGTTTGCTTTCCTCTACAACTTGAACTTCTAACCAGAGCTTTGCATTTCCTCTCCCCTCCCTCAGGGGATTGAAGCTACATTACACACTGAACTAAATCTATGTGCTCATGATCTGGGCAACCTGTATACAAACACGAGCCTCCTGGATCAATGCTCATCTCAGCTTCTGAGTACTTAGATGTCATATGCTTTACTTTGTGTTTTCATTATATTTTTAAAATGCTTGTTGTTTTTACCTAATAGAGAAATATAGTCAGTTAAAAAATATGAAAAACAGACAGTTCCAAATATATATAACCAGCAATCTCACTATCTAGAAATAGTCACTATTTCAGTTCCCTTTTCCTTTACTTCTCACTACTGTCCATCTAATCTCTATTTAAAGTTCTTAAAGTGATGCTGAATTGAACATACTATTTTAAACTTACCTTTCCCCCCGTCATTTAACAGTATGCAAGTAGTTCCATAATTTTCTAAGTGAAATGTTTCTGAAAAATGTGTTTGAAAGCCAAATGTTAGGTCTAAGAGGAGACTCATATCAGAGTGGAGGTAGGAGAGTAAGAGTCCTTCCCAGAGAACAAAAAGATGTTAGAAAACCCATAATTATTATCTCTTTAGGTGTAGCTCTTCTTAGGCATCAGCAAGTGGAGAGAGGCTTTCCTGGCCCCTAGTAGAGAGAGGTGGTAGCTGCCAGTTTGGACACCAACGTTGGGCCACCAGTCATTGCACAGTGACCCTAGGAACTGTAAGAGCCAACTCAGGAATTTCCCCTAGGTTGGTGCTCAGTTTTCCACTTCTGTACCTCTGTAAGGTCTTAGAGGAAGGCAGAGATACTCCAGGCTTTCATTACTGCAGAGAGCACCCATGTTTATCTGATTATGACACTGGATTTTACCATTCTTATTTTTGAGGCACTGACAATTTCTTCCCTTAGTTTACAATCCTTGGCCTGAGGAGAAGCTTGAGCCTTGATTACTCAATTAATCAAATGACTATTTAAAGGAAATATATTGAGTACCACCTTGTATGTCCTAGGGCTGCCATAACAAACTGCCACAAACTGGGTGGTTTACAACAACAGAAATTTCTTCAGTTACAGTTCTGGAGGCCAGAGTTTAGAAATCAAGATGTTGACAGAGCTGCACTCCCTCTGAAGGCTCTAAGGGAGAATCCTTTCGAGCTTCTAGTGGCTGTTGACCCTTCAATCTCTGCCTTCGTTTTCACATGGCCTTCTTCTGCCTCTCACAGGACACATCATTGGATTTAGGGCTCACTTGATAATCCAGGATGATCTCATGTACAGATTCTTAATTACATCTTCAAAGACCCCTTTTCCAAATAAGATCACATTCACAGTGTCTGGGTGCACATAATCTTTTTTTGGGTGGATCAGATTAGTGGTGAACATCATTCATCCCTCTATACTCCTATATTCCGGATGCTTTGAACCTGAGCTGGTATGAAAGACATTTAAGTAACTATAACATAGTATAGTTAATGCTAGGAAACAGACATGGCAAAATTGCTGTCAGAACACAGAGGAGGAGTGGAACATTGGGATGAGGGGATGTAGATGCCCAGGAAGCCTAATAGAGAATGACATTTCAGGTCAAAATATAATGATTCATTCTGGGACTTGACAAAGTACTTAAAAAAACCAAACATGTTTGATTTTAAATGTGGTTGTTTTAAACAAGGTTTAAGTTAGTGAAGTGAACTGGTGTTGAACATTAGAGAATGGTGGGGACTGGAGTGAACTGGAGAGCAAGTGCAATAGGTGGGGGTATGATTAGCTCTAAAGGTCTAAAGGACCACCCTTTCACATTGTCTCCAAATATGACCAGCATTCTGCTATGGAAAATTGGATAAAATGGCCTTTCTTTTGAATAATGAGCTCCCCAGTGACTTTTTAAAAACATTGAGACTTCCTTCCATTCCTAGTGCCTTGTTCTAGTCTAGTTCAGCCTCTCAATTCTTCTCTGAAGTATTCCAATAGGTGTACACCATCCCCCTTTTCTGTATCCAGCTTCCAGTATCCAATCTATCTTTCCTGCCCCATTGATCTTTCCTTCACATCAGTCATGGTACGTCCATCTGTCCCCAATTACATTTAATTGTTTTCATGTCAGTTTTCTCCACTACTTTGAAAGCTCCATGAGAGAAGAAATCATGTCTTAGTTATCTTTCCTATTCCTGCTCTGTCCCCAGTATCTATTACCTAAGGGTAATTTAGGTAATTTACTCAGTAAATGAATTAACTGCGGAGAAAATGTGCATTCAGTGTTCAGTGCTACCAGAGTCCAGTTTTATGGAAGGAAGCACATAAAACCTCAGTCCAAGATTTATCTTCTGTCAGTGGTGAAATAGTTTTATCTAATGATCATCCACATTGGTGTTAGGCAAACATGTATGGAATGCTAGGAAAAAAAAAATCATTTGTCAATACTTTCCTAATCTCTATTGCTACTGCTGCATAGATACTGCTCCTTATTTCATAACTGCCAATCTAGAAAGAATATCACCTAAACTGAAATTTATGACAGTTCAATTCTTAAGGCAGTATTAGCTAGATAGATGAACCAAATCCCAATGTAGGAAAAGCCATGGCTATTTTTAAAAAATCCTTTTTAGTTTTTCTACCAGAGGCCAAATGCAGGTAGCATAAATAGGTGAAGTGAAATAGTGTAA